CTGAGGGTTAATTCTTTTTTTTTTTTTAACCCTCAGGGGTTAAATTAATTAAATTAATTAATTAAATTATTTTTTAATTATATATTTAGCTAGCTGGGGTAGGTGGAAGTTAGTGGGGAATTGGGGGATTTGGCGTTAGGCTAACTAGGGGTTAACGTTAAAAAAAGTTTTAAAAGAAACTTTAAAAAGTTAAAAATTAAGCTTAAAAAAATGTTTTAATAACATTTAAGTAAAAAAAACAAAAAAACACACTTTACCTAGTCCAAATAAAAATTAACCCCTTCCCTGCCAGTCGATCACTGCCTACAGCGATCAAATAGAGATCACAGTATTATACTGTGATCTAATTTTTTTTAACCCCTGAGGATTAACTTTTATTTATTTTTTTTAACCCTCAGGGGTTCAATTTATTTAATTAATTAATTTAAATATTTTATAACTATATATTTTGCTAGCTGGGGTGGGTGGGAGTTATGGGAAAATGGGGAATTTACTGTTACTGCTGTGTACTGCTAGTTAGGGGTTAACGGTAAAAAAAAAAGCTTAGAAAAATGTTAAATCTGTAAAAAAGTTTTAAGAAAGTTTAGGAAAGTTTAAAAAAAATTTATAAGCAAAACAAAAGTTTAAAAACTAGTTTTTAAAAGTAAAAAAGTTATAAAAAGTAAAAAAATACATTTTAAAAACGCTCATTACCACTACACCTGGAACAAACTAGAGAAAAAATTATCCCACGCCAAGGTTCAAAATATGCCTTTTGAATTACCCCAGGGTGTATTCTTTAATAAATAGTATGTGTTTGTGGGGAAGTTTCAATAACCAACCGTCTAAACTACTCCAAATTGGAACATGGACACAGCGTAAAACTTCAAAGTTAGAAAAAAACTGAATGGCTGCATCTCAAATGCGCCCCTTCAACATCCACATATACCTGGCAAAGGTACATACGGGGGTATTGCTGTACTCAGCCGACATAGCTGAGCAACATATGAAGTATTATACAGTCATAGCACACATAAGGTTTGCAAAATATGCTGCGCAAACTCACTTTGTATGTCAAAAAGGCAGAAAAAATGCTTATTACCACTACACTTGGTACAAGCTAGAGGAAAAATGATCCCACGCTAAGGTTCAAAATATGCCTTTTGAAATACCCTGGGATGTCTTCTTTAAGAAATGGTATGGCTTTATGGGGAATTTGGATTATATAGCCTGGTAAAATACTCTAAAATGGGACATAGGCACAGCATAAAAATTCAAAGTTTGAAAAAAACTGGAATGGCTGTGTCCCAAATGTGCCCCTCCGATGTCCACACATACCTGGCAAAGGTACATACGGGGGTATTGCTGTACTCAGCCGACATAGCTGAGCAACATATGAAGTATTATACAGTCGTAGCACACATAAGGTTTGCAAAATATACTGTGCAAACTCACTTTGTATGTCAAAAAGGCAGAAAAAACGCTTATTACCACTACATCTGGTACAAGCTAGCGGAAAAATGATCCCACGCTAAGGTTCAAACTATACCTTTTGAAACACCCTGGGGTGTCTACTTTAAGAAATGGTAGGCCTTGTGGGGTAGTTTGAATTTAAAACCTGCGAAGATGCTTGGAAATTGCACATAGGCCCAGCGTCAAAATTCAAAGTTTGGTAAAAACGGATATGGCTTGGTCTCCTATATGGCACTGTAGCTTCACAAAATAGTGCCAAAGACATTCATTGGGGTGTATTTTTACTCAAAAGACTTAGCTGAGCATAATTTGGGAGGTTTGAACTTAGTGGCACATATGAAATATACAAAACGCCCAGCAAAAATGCAATCCGTATGTAAAAAATGCACAAAATAATTTTTTTACCACATACTTTGGCATATATTGGTGAAAAAATCGGGGTATGTTAAGGCACAATATGCACCTTATGAGATACCCTGGAGTGTCTACTTTTACAAATGGTAGGCCTTTGTGGGGGTTTTTTGAACAGTCAAACTGTTATAATACCCCAAATGGAAGCTAAGGCTCATTAAATCCATCTCTCAAAATTCTACTGTGAATACTGTAAAGGACAGGTCTCCTATATGGCACTGTAGCTTCACGAAATAGTGCCAAAGACATTCATATGGGGTGTCATTTTACTCAGAAGACTTAGCTGAGCATAATTTGGGGGGTTTGAACTTAGTGGCACATATGAAATATACAAAACGCCCAGCAAAAATGCAATCCGTATGTAAAAAATGCACAAAATTATTTTTTACCACATACTTTGGCATATATTGGTGAAAAAATGGGGGCATGTTAAGGCACAATATGCACCTTATAAGATACCCTGGAGTGTCTACTTTTACAAATGGTAGGCCTTTGTGGGGGTTTTTTGAACAGTCAAACTGTTATAATACCCCAAAATGGAAGCTAAGGCTCATTAAATCCATCTCTCAAAATTCTACTGTGAATACTGAAAAGGACAGGTATCCTGTATGGCACTGTAACTTCACGAAATAGTGCAAAAGACATACAATGGGGTGTCATTTTACTCAGCAGATGTAACTGAACACAAAATAAAACTTTGTACAGGAATAGCACACACCAACTTTACAAAATATACACGAGAATTTCTCTGTTATAAGTTTGTGTGCCAAAAACCAAAAAGAACACAATTTTACTCCAATATTTAGCAGAGGTTGGCGGTGAAATGGCTACGTAGAAAGTGTCAAAACAACCTTAGGTAAATAGCCCGTGATGTCTACTTTATATAAATATATACTTTTGTGTGGCAATTTTGTTTTCTTTTATGGCTATTAAGCTTACAAGACAAACATACCAAATTCTAAAATCGCTCCACATTAAAAGTTTATTTTACTCCTTGTGCTTTGTGACCTGTAACTACCAAAAAAAACTTAAAATCCCAGACACATTATATATTCTGTAAATCAGAACAAATAAATAAATTTATTTTTAATTACTTTCCTTAACCTGCACTAATTATGCACACATTATTATTATTGCAAAAACTGTAAAAAAAACAATATTTTTTCATTTTTTTTGCATTTTTCTGTATTTTTTTTATAATAAGTAAGCATTTATATATATATATGTTATATCAAATTAAAGCCCTTTCTGTCCTTTAAAAAACAGTATATAATATGTGTCGGTGCAATAAATGAGAGAGATGCAAATTGCAGTTGAACGCAAACAGCAAGAAAATGCAAAAATTGCTTGTGTCATTAAGCGTAAATCAAGCTTCTGAAGCTGTGTCCTTAAGGGGTTAAGTAAATCTATTTCTTCTTAACTTACTAGTACATGTGAATAATTTTCTTTTAACCACCTCGTTAAGTTCAAATCTAATTAATATTAATACTTAGACATGTTTACTTTTAAATCCTTATGTTCCGCATGCTTATGTGCATATATCTAGTTAATTAGTACCCTTAAAGTGAAAATGATCACCAATGACATCAACAAATTAGCAGATTATACAATGCACAATTGATTAATTCTATATAAGTGAAGACATCAAAAAAAAAAAAGTTATTTCTTCTTTTCTTCCTTTCTCCTTCCTCTCTCCTCTCATCTCTTCTCTCTTCCTTCCATCTTCCTCTCCTCTCTTCCTTTCTATCCTTTTTCTCCATCGCAACAGACCCCTCAAACTTTTTTATTAATACTTGTTAGCCAACTGTTTGCTTCGTTTGTATCCCAAAAATTTTTTTTTTCTTGTTTCCAAGTAAATCTTAAAGATGTTGGATAAGCCCATTGAAATCTGATCTCTGCTTTTCTTAAAAAATCTGTCACGATAGAGAAAGATTTCCTCCAAGTCCTGGTGTGATAAGATAGGTCTTGCAAGAAAATTATATCCTTGTAAATAGAATTTGTTCGGGGTTTAATACGGCTGGCTTTCATTAAATTATTTCTCATTGATAGTGAGGAAAAACTCACTATTACATCTCTTGGGAGATGTGAGGCTGTTGTGTCTGGTTTATATATTCGGTGAAAATTTTCTATTTTATATTCATCTGTAGATATTTCTGGTAAGACTTCTTTCTGGTAAGACTTCTTCAAATAAATTATTTAAATATTCTCTCAGTTTTTCATTGGAGATTTCTTCAGAAACCCCTCTTATTCTGATGTTTCTTTTTCTTGATCTATCTTCCAAAGCTGCTATTTTATTTTCGAGATTGTCAACTTTATTTACTAGAAACTGCACTTCCGTATTAATTGCTTTAATTTGAGTTCCAAACACTTCACATTTTTTTTCCACTTCCACCACTGATACTGCAACATTTTTAATTTCTTGTTTTTATCTCATTGAAACTTGCAAGCATGTCTTGTTTCAATATATTTAATTGTAATTCCAACATTTGCTTAAATTGATCTTGTATACTGATTGAAGCAATTGCTTGAGTTTCTGATGGAAATTGGTTAAGTGGAACTTCTTGATTAATATTGGAAGTATTACTTGGGTGTATCTGTTCCTGCAGATCTTTAATGGGGGTAGTAAAAAAACCTGACAACCTCTTTTCTGTTTGTTGAACTGACTTAATTTCTTTCTTTTTTTCTGTTGTTTTCCTAGTTGACATTTTGTTTTGTTTCTTAAATGCTTCTCAATAGCAGATTATAGCTAGATATCTCATATAAAGTTTTAACTTTAGACTTGAAGAATTAGATCAATTGATCAAATAATCAAATAATTAATTCAATTAAATCAGTCAAATATGCCAGTCTCCTCCAAAAAAAAAAAAATTTCTTTCCAGTTTTCTTTTTCCAAGCCAGTAATTATATACAGGTGTGATGCCTTACAGTAATGTTGTAGTATATACAGAAGTACTCACAGTTTTTATATAAAGCTATTTGGAAAATTGCTGAGGGATGTATTTTTTCTTTTTTTCTCCTTTTCCCTTTATTTCTCTCTTATTCTTTCTTTCTTTGTTATTCTTTCTTTCTTTTCTTCGTTTTTTCTTTAATAATTTATAAGGGAACTGTTTTTATTTCTTCCTTGACCTTTTTAATAGTCCATGAGGAAACCGCCACTATCTGTCCAAATGAAGGCAACAGACCCCCAGCAAAAACACCGACCGGCACACACCGCACCACTTCAAACCAGATCCACCGACCCACTGAATCGTCACTGAGTCCTCCCTCCGCTCCATCCACTTCAATCCCCACCGAGCCAGACCATATTCACAGAACGGCACGGAGCGGCATTACTAGCTCTCGCCTCCGCGTCCTCTCTCCTCAACCTCCTTCTGGACACGCCCACCTGTAGCACGTGCGGCGCCTCACGTCATCACGTCCCCTTCCGAGAGGAAATAGATATTAGATACTGTACATGCATCAGAGAAAATGAGGTCGAGGGTATTGCCAGCTGCATGGGTGGGAGAATTAGCCCTCTGTGATAGCCCAAGGGAGGAAGTAATTGAAAGTAGTTTAAAAGCTGCTGAGGTCAAAGGTGGGTTAATGGGAATATTGAAGTCCCCGAGAATTAGGGATGGAATATTACTATGTATTTTTACTATGCTTGACCCGCTCTGACCCACTTCCTGTGGGTCAGAGAAATTTTTCCACAATACTCACCCATTCCTCCGTTATCTCGATGCCTGCTTTCACTATTCCCGACGTCCTGTCATTTAGACAGAACGCCGACGAAACTATCGAATTTCGTTCTAAGAGAATGAGAACAGTTTGTTTATTCATGTTAGGACGACATTTGGTACTTTTAGGTCGGTTTGAAATTTCATTCAAATGAATGAAATTCTGATCCATGCTGCTGCTGCATCTTATAGCTGCTTAGTAGATAGATCCCTAATTTCCACGGTATTAGGGAGCTATCTACTAAAAGGTATCTATCTACTACTAACTTTACTAATACTAAGTACAAATTACTTACCATGAGCGGCGGGTGGAGGCCCTAAAAGACAATTGAAGGAACCTATTGTCCCCCCCCAGCACCCACCCATGAGCGGCGGATGGGGGCCCTAAATTAAAATGGGGGGACCCATTGTCCTCACCCCGCCCCCCACCCATGAGCGGCGGGTGGGGACCCTAAATGAAATGTGAGGGGACCTATTGTCCTCCCCCCCTGGCCCCCACCCATGAACGGTAGGTGGAGTCCCTAAATGACAAGGTCCCACCCATGAGCGTCAGGTGGGGGCCCTAAAAGACAACCTTTTTTATTTATTTACAGGTATTTAGTTTTATTGTCTCCCCCCTCACTATCTTTAGGGTGAAGAGGGTAGGTAGGGCTTTATTTAAAATGGGTGACTAGGGGCTTAGGGAGCATTAATCATTTGGGGGGGTACTTTTACATTTAGCCCCCACCCGTCGCCCATGGGTGGGAGCCAGGGGGAGGACAATAGATCCTCCTCCATTGTCATTTAGGGCCCCCACCCGTCGCCCACAAGTGGGGGCTGGGTGGGGACAATAGGTTCCCACCATTGTTTTTTTAGGGCCTCCACCCACTGCTCATGGGTGGGGGCTGGGGGGGACAATAGGTTCCCCCAGTGTCTTTTAGGGCCCCACCCGCCGCTCATGCGTGGGGATCTGGGGGGAGGACAATAGGTTCCCCCCATTGTCTTTTAGGACCCCCACCCGCTGCTCATGGGAGGGGGCCAGGAGGAGGACAATAAGTCCAGCAAAATTTTCATAGGTGGTGGCCGGGGTGGGGTGGGGTTGGGGGAATAAGTTCCCCCCCATTTTCTTTTAGGGCCCTCACCAGCCACTCATGAGTGGGGGCCAAGGGGGACCCTATGTCCCCCCTGCTAGTAAATAGATGCCCCACTAGGGTGCCATTTGTTGGAAGGGGAGGGGGCTTTTTATTTTATTTTTTTTACAAAAGCGAGCAGCCACAGATTTCAATCTACCTTATGCTAATATGGGGGTCAAATTTCACCCAGAGAGTGAGGGAGGACATAGGGGGCTTAGGAAGTGGTGGGGAGAACTGCTCCCTGCCATTTCTATTTTTACATATTATAAGGAGGGAGCTGCGAGCCGGTAGCCAATATTCGGTGTTTCTTTATTCGTCTGAAATTTCTATTCATTCCTTCGTCTTTCTGATGAATGAATATACAGAATTCCAGTCCAAATTTTGGACAATAGCGAATGCCCAAGTGTTTAACCGGGCATGCACAGGAATTTCACAGAGCTATCTAGTGTGGGCAGATGACGTGTCCCACAGGGACTTCATTTGCCCACACAAAGATGGTGGCGCCCAGGACCTAGGTCCGGGCATAAAATAAAGATGAAAAGATAGGTAATATTAGGGCATTAGGGGCATTTGGGGGTGACTAGGGGGACAATTAGATGTAGTGGAGTCGGTAGGGGGGGGGTTAAAAAAAACTGGAGTCGGTCATGACAGTGCCGCTTTAACCTGCCTGGCTATTAGAGTGTGAATTAAATTTTATGGTCACTCAGTAGATTTAAAGGGACACTCCAGTGCCCAGACACACAAAAAAATGTTTCAATCATTGTTTAGTATATATACACCAACTCAGACTTTCTCTGGCTGTCCAATCACAGACTTTCCAATGCAGCTCAATGAGAAGTCTTTCCAAGGCAGGTTCTTTGGGTAATTGATCCCACTTGACTTAAGCTCCACTGAGCTAAAAAAACTGAAAGTAAGAGTACCTGTTGTCTGCTTAAAAGCTGGGAGGAGGCGTGTAACCAGCTTAATTTATAAAAGTGCCTATTTCTATTGAAATCTGCTGTTTTGCAAAATTAAAAATTGGACATGCTCTTCACACATAAAGCATTTTTACCAATCTAAAGTGGATTAGGGCGTCACTTAAAAAAGAGTAAAAATGTTGCATTATTATCATATTTAAGGAGGCAAATAGTATCAGGTCTTAGTCTACTCTACAGATTTTTTATTTTCTATAGTCTGAATATGTTACAATTGTTACATCTATCTTATTCATTTCTCTTAATGGTACACTATATCACTGTGACGAAGTGCCCTTTGCCACTTGGTCCTGGAGAGGCCTACTTGCCAGCCTCCTCCCCTGTGACTATGACTCTTTCACGTATCTGGCTTTAAAGCCCCTAGTCTACCTTCAGACAGACTATTTATGTAGGCTGCTTTATTTATCCTATGTTTTAGTCACCCTGTACCCATTATAGGTGCAGGGTGTGTGTAATGTAATTGTTTATAGTGTGTGTGTGTGTACTGTGAAATGTATTGCCTTCTCTCCTGTACTGCTGAGGTTTGCTACCAACTAGGTGGGTTTGGCTATGGAGCTGGTCTAGTGCCCTCTGTTGGTAGCAGCAGCAATATGCACTACCTGAATTGCAAGACTGGTTCATTTGCATATTCGGGTAGATTTGCATATTGCTAATTCTGCAGGCAGGTGAGATATTTACTGTTAAATATTGTCTCCCCCCACCCCTTTAAAAATGTGCCATTGTGTTGTGATAAGTCACTGTGTGTTTCTTGATATGGTTTGACTGTTTGTGATTTTATTGAGGTTTCACAACAATGTTATTGTGGTGACTGTATTGGCTGGTCCCAAGGGAATAAAGGTTTTGACAGTTCTTCTTGATCCCTCTAAACGTAGCCTTGTCTCGTTATTGGAGGGAGCTGTTATAATCACACTGGGGATTGCTATGCTCTGCATGCTCCCCTGAGCTTGAATCACTTAGCTCTTTTAAGAGCTGTTCCTGTTACGCTCTCCTGGAGGATAGGTCTTCACCATACAGTCCTGGAGGACAGAAGCTGATCCTGGGTGGAAGGAAGACGGCGAGACTCCAGTCAAGATACGGCGGTTGCGGAGTCTGTGGTGGTTGTGGTGTCTGCTGCAGTGCTTGGGAGTCCTCAGGAAGCGCTAGGAGCATCCATCAACGGAGGGTACTCAGTCGGAGTACAAGGAGCTCCGTTACAATCACCATCAAGTATAACACAAGAAACTATGAAAATAAAGGTGGAGATGTAGGGTTTCTGCTCTCACCTCACTGCTCCTTCAAACCTCTACCCACCCACCTTCCCTCTCTTTCTCATCATTTGAGATTCATTCAATCCGCCTTTTCAAACTCATCTCTACTAACATTGCTGTTATCTATCGTCCTCCTGGTTCCCCACTTCTCTTCCTTGACCACTTTGCTGCCTGGCTTCCTTACTTCCTCTCCACTAACATTCCATTTGTAATTCTCGGGGACTGCAACAATCCCATTAACCTACCCTTGACCCCCAGCAGCCTCAAAACTGCTTTCTATTACCTCCTCCCTGGGAGTTCTATAAACCTCCAGCAGCTGTCAGCTAATATTGATTCCCAACTATTATCCATTTCTGTTTACTCATGTCCCTCGCTGGCTATCTCCTCATATAACTACCCTCAACTCAGCCCTGGACGCTGCAGCCTCTCTCCAAATACGCACCTCGAGGAGGATACGCCCCCAACTGTGGCACACTAAATCATCTGCATAACTACAGAGATGTTCCTGTTCTGCTGAAAGCTGCTGGAGGAAGTCTCACACCGATTCAGACTTTCTACACTACAAATTTATCTTGCGTTCATACAGCGCAGCCCTTGCGAAACGGTCATACTTTTCTTCTCTTATTAGCTTATGCTCTCGCAATCCCAGGCGTCTCTTTGATACCTTTAATTCTCTTCTTTGCCCTGCTGCGGCCACCCCCCCAAACTAACCTTACAGCTTATTTGCATGCTACTTCACTGACAAGATTGAACAACTTAGGAAAAGATTCTCATCACCTTGCCTCTCACTTTCTCAACTCCACCTGGATCATGCCTCTCCAACCCTTTGACCTTCTCCCCGGCTACTGAACAAGAGGTATCCTTTCCTCTCGCCCCACCATTTGCCCCACCATTTGCCTGCTTGATCCTGTCCCGTCTCATCTTATCAGATCTCTTTCCTCTTGTCTTGTGCCCTCCTTAACATACATCTTCAACTGCTCTCTCTCTTCTGGCACTGTCCCTGCTGTGGTTAAACATGCTACTGTAGTACCCATCTTAAAAAAAACATATCTTGACCCATCCTCCCCTTCTAACTATCATCCTATATCCCTGCTCCCCTTTTCCTCAAAGCTTCTTGAAAGACTAGTTTTAACCTGTCTGGCCTGCTTTCTCAGCTCCAACTCTCTCCTTGACCCTCTTCAGTCCGGCTTCCGCCCCTCCACTCTACTGAGACTGCCCTTATTAAAGTCACTAATGACATTAATGTTATCACTTAATTGGGTACACATAGGAGCCATTTTCTACTCTTTATACATAGATTTTTGGACATTACTGCTTGCTGTATTGTATCATCCATATGTAA